GACAGACAGACAGACAGACAGACAGACAGACAGACAGACAGACAGACAGACAGACAGACAAACAGACAGACAGACAGACAGACACACCAAACTTGTTTAGATATATGGACGATCTGTTGATATAATAATACGCAATCAACAAGAAATTAGTATGGAAATGTGTCTGAAAGAAGTGTATAAAGATACTTTAGTTCTTAAAAAAACACATATTACTAATAGATATAGTAACTACTTGGATCTGATCTTAACAAATGAAAATGATAGAATTAGCACGAAGTTATATAATAAAACGAATGATTTTGGTTTCAAGGTTAACAGATTCCCGCATAAAAACTCAAATATTTCAACTAATAATAAAGCTTCAGTTATTTATACAGAATGTCTCAGAATAGCAAATACTTGTAGTAATATTACAACATATATTTCTAACATTAAAAATTTAGTTAAAATTTCGGTAGATAATGGATACACTAAGGAGTTCATTTTAGCTAATATAGTGAAGAGTATATATAAAAACAAGTTCATTATATATAAGTCTTCCTTTGAATATAACTATGAAGGCATATATAGGTTTGTTAAAGAAACTGTGGAAATCCAATAGCATACTAATTATATAATATCAAGTTTATTCATAATAACATTCATGTTATTACTACTATTTAAGTCAATCCCGGTACATATACAAGTAATAGTATATAATAGTTCAACTAGTTCTGCTTTACAATAATGTGGTCTTAGCATCGCAGCATAGCATGCTCTAATAAATCTGAGCATCACACGTACATTGGAAGGCAAATCTAATATAATTTTAGGCCTCCATTAAGATTGCTGATTTCAGTTCACAACTAACATATTCCTTGTTCTTTTGTTTAAGTTGTTCGTGTTTTTTGCCTTTTATCACTTTATTAGTTATGCAGTCATATATTTAGTTAGTCTATAGTGGAGTTGACTCTTACTCACTGATGAGCCACGGGAGTCAACTCCACTTGGTGTTTCGTCTGAGTAAACGTGGCGAAACGAATCACCGTTTGTTATTTCTTATAACTCCTGTTGAACAACTGGTAACATTGTTCTCTTTTCTCTTGTGGATTGTACATAGTGAGGATATATATATAGTAAGGAATGTGGATCAGGTGTTGATCTTCAGGGCTACCTTGTGTGTTACTGGAAGTCAACCGAAGATCGGACAGCTGCAATTAAGGCTCCGTTATCGTCAACACTGCTATTTTTTACTGCCAATGGTAAGTAAAGATTCTGTTGGTTGTCGATTCTATCTCCTTCTGTGCAGAATCTCACTGAGCTGTGTGTTTATTTCGTCTCGGTTTTCGATGACAGGCCTGCTTCTTTCTTTTGAACAATGGTTAGTCGTTTTATATACCTGCTCCTACTCTCAAGATTCCAGGATTGGAACCTAATAAGCAGTACACGTTCACGGTTCAAGCCGAGAACACCGTTGCACTAGGGCCAGAAGCAGTCGTACAGGTGATGACGACGTCTGTTCGAGGTAAGAGACTGTTCTATGGTAAGAGATTTCAGTTAATGTGTTTTTAATGCATATGGTTTTTCGACGCATAAGCCAGTTTTTTTTTGGAGAAGGAAACGAGCCGGTGATTGCAGGTGATTTTGAGTGGTCGGTGATTAACTCTGATCCGTTAAATGTCGTATATTGTTTTCCACATATCATGAAGCTTTGGAAGTGTCTCCTTCATGATAATGAGCTTGCAATCATAATTCCTAATGAAATTTATCAATAACACATGAAAAAACTGATTAAAAGAACTTTGTTATGCAGCCGCTATATGTTGATATTCACTTTGCAGTTAAGTTCGCATTCAGAAGTCGTTGCGTTCCTGAATGAGGGGCGAATGCATGGGGGTTTTCCAATGGGAGGTTCATCGATAATCGAAAGTACTTCATCGTATACTTTTAAGTGCCTGTACGATCACCACCCGTACCAACTCGAAACGACACGAATTATCGTTCGGAGAGCATTGCTATTCGATGGGATGAAAGAGCTGTCGATGAGGACGAGGCACCAGTGCGATTTGTGCAGGTGCTGCAACTGTTTACGTGGCTGGCTACTTCAGTAGACGATATAATTTCATGCGCTGATTACTTGAGCTCATTGCAGGTTGAATATCAGAAGTCGAACAATGATGAATGGAACACTCTGGAAAAAATGGTATCAGGACAAGAAGATGGTGTGGTGGTCTCCAGGTAGAATGTCTATACTGCAAAGGTTTACAACTGGAAACGAGTGAGAATGATTGGCTCGAGCAGTTGCATTCAAATAACTTTTCTTTCGATGAAAGCTGATGGGCGGCTAACGGCAGGGGCTGACGAGAGCCGGCATCGGTTTCGGTCGTCGAGCGTTATCCCAAGGTTGATGGTTGAGTGATGAGACTCGGATGCCCAATGACTCGCTTGAGTGCGTGACGAATATTCGATATTATCTGCAAGCTGGTGAATTTTCCAGACTTAAATATAGTCTAGTGCTTCATACTCCTTGCAGTGTAGGGATGAATTCAAAAAAAGATTCCCTTTCCACAGTTTCAGATGGGTGATATGCGCGAGCGCTTCTCCGACACGTCGGCCGATGTACGGCTGTCAGGCGTAAATCGGCCGACGACGGCATTTAGCTTATATTGAGAGGTATTGGATTGGGACGACTATGTTCGCAGCAATTGACTTTACCTCCAAATCTTCTCATTTCATTTCTCGTTCGGTTAATACACATCATGTATAACGAGAACAGTATTGTCTAGCCCTGTCATTCGTTTCAGACGTCAGGAAGGATATGGTTTCACCATATTCCCGTAGAAGTTATATACTCAAAAAATCTACCCGCAAAAAAGAAGGGATTTATTTATTTATTTAAATACACCTCCAGGGTGTGCCCATCAATCACATAGACAAAGGGAAACTAGAAGGTAGAAAATTATGGAAAATTGGCCGAAAGCAAGGCAAAGGAGAAACGCATAACAACAAAACAAGGTGAAATGGTAAAAAAGGTAAAAACGTTAGAACTAGTGTAGCGATGAGATAAGCAGAGAGATTAGCATGCCCAGGAATCAGTGAAAACGAGAGGTGAGCTAGGGCATTTCATTGTGAGAACAATAAGATTGCTTTCCCCCGCCAAGCAGATGAGGGGCCCCCTCAAGATCCTGGTCCTTGGTCCAGAACGCAAAGCGACAGAAGAACCTTGCTGACAACTTAGTCCGTTACGAACGAATTCGTCCGGAACCCCGGTCGAGCAGACCAAGGGGTACCTCAAACGAGGGGGTTCATCAAACCGAAGGATCCTGAAACAACTAGAACCCACAACTAAAGCCCTTAGCCTCACGAAGCAAAATATGCTCTCTGCATCGCATCCCACCTACTTCGAGAAAAAATAGGAGAAGATAGAATGCGGGAGGATTAATTGGAAGTGGAACTAGTAAGCAGGTAACAAGTATGAACTTTAGATAATCGCACATACATACAAGGAAAGTAACACAGAGTAGAACATTAAAGCCGTGGGAGATTCTCGAGTAAGGAGGAAAGGAGAGAAGGGGTATGGGCAGATTGCCTGTGGATGCCTGCGAATAGAAAAGAAGGATCATTGTATAGAATTCAGAAAACCGTGAAGTTCTCAAAAATTATAAAATTCATTCATATGTCATCAATAATATGGAATGCTCGTCGCAAGTACGAATGGCGATAACCCGTAGGGTGAACACCAATGCAGTTTTTGCCTGAAAAATAGCAAGAGAATGTTAGATATACTCTGGAATACGCAATGTTCGCAATAAATCGATATTGCTGAGCCTTTTTCTGAATATTTTGCTGCTGGCTGCCTGAATCACCTCAGGTGGAAGCACTCCGAGCCATCTCGCGCAACGATAGAAAAAAAATTATTGAACATCAAATTGTACTGTCTGGGATGAATTCTGGCATAGTGGAGGTTGAACCCACCCAACCTTTCACTTGTGGGTTTGAAACACCAGTACTTACTAGCACACAGCTTCACTTCTTCTCGAAGTACCCTAAAACAGAACACAAGGTCAGCCGCTACCCGTCTGTATTGCAAGGACTTGAGAGAAAAGCGTTTGAGGCGTGCACCGTATGAGGATGGACGGAGCCTGCTTACCCAAGGTGTAGACCTATACCAAAGTATACGCGTGAACACTTGTTGGACTCGTTCTATCTTGAGAATATCTTTTTTGTGAGAAGGGCTCCAAACCTGCGAGCGGTACNATAACTGCTCTATTTGAATATTCATACGAAGCGGAAAGTTTGATGTCATCTGCGTATACTTGTATGTGAACATCGCTGCATGTTTTGAGTATCTGTGGTAGCTCCGTGGTGTAAATCAAGAACAGTAAAGGTGATAGTACTCCACCTTGGGGAACCCCGCTAGTACAGATGTACCAGTAGAGTAACTAGTACCAACTCGCCCTGTTATGCTCCTGTCACTAAGGTACGACTTGATCCAGTCTAAAGCATTACCCCGAATTCCGTAGTGCTCCAGTTTTTTAATGAGTTTAGGATAAGAGACTTTATCGAAGGCTTTTGAAAGGTCTAGATGAATGATGTCCACAGACTTCCCTCGATTTATAGCCCAGCAAACATCGTAGAAGGTATCAAGCAAGTTAGTACAAGCAGAAGCACCGGGCAGGAAGCCGTGCTGCTCAGCTGAGACGAGGTGGAATTTCTGAAACCACGCTAGTAACTTCCTGAACATAATTTTCTCCATGACTTTGGCCGAAGTGGGAGTAATGCTGATAGGCCTGAAATCAGTAACACTAGCCGCTCCAGGTTGTTTGGGAATGGCAGTAACTATAGCTTTCTCCCAAAGGCAGGGGACCTGCCCGAGAAGGAAAGAGATATTGAACAAGAAGGAAAGTGGATAACATAGTGACCCACAGCATTTTTTGAAAATGATCTGAGGTATACCATCGAAAGGCTTGCTAGTTGAAGGCTTCAAACTTTTCAGCACCAAACGAACATCAGTGGGGTGAAAGTAGATATCGGGTGGATTACGGTGGATATATTGCAAGCTGTTTTCTACTTCACCATCAGCAGTGGTCGAATCCAAGAAGACACTAGCGAAATATCGACCCAGAGCCTCATCCTTAGTAGAGTCGTTATATAGCCTTGACCCAGCCTGTTCTTTCAAAATAGGGAGGGGTGGTTTGGGTTTGAGTTTGTTGCGAAGGTAAAGGTGCAGTCGTCGCACCCAAACCAGACCTCCCAAGATGGCGCTCGTAACTGGCAACAAACTTTTTCAAATGGTGGTCAACGTCAGAGCACACCTTTTTTAAAGCGGGGAGCTCAAGGGGAAATCCACTTCCCGGAAAAGGCGCTCCTTCTGGAATAACAAGTTCTTTAGTGTGAGGGATATCTTGTGAAGGTAGATTTTGGAAACCTCATTGGGACGAAGCTTGCTAACCCACTGTAGACAACAGTGCAAAACTTGGCATATGCATCGTCGGCAGAGATGTAATTCTCGAATAGCTGTAGCCAATCAACATTCCGAAATAATCCTCAAGACCAATGTAGTCAGCGGAAGAGAAATCGGGGAAGGGTAGATGACACGCACTACCAAGCTCTTCTAACAGACTGAAGCAAACAACGGAATGATCTGAATTCGCCAGTGGAGCTGACACTGTAACCTCGCTAATGTTGGAAAGCGTGGAAAGGACCAAATCGAGAATGTTACTGCCATGCGTTGGTACACGTACATGCTGGTTGAAGCCCATTCCTTGAAAGAATTCCAGGAAGGTATTTGAGGATGGATTGAGTGCGTGATGATGCTCCCAGTCAAAGGCAAGGTTAAAGTCACCCACAATTACGCTATTGGCGTGGTACGAGGCGAAGCCACTGAGTAGTTCAACTAGTTCTTCATCCTCGCTTTTCAGTGAATTTGGTGGGCGATATACAATTGCAAAGCGGATCCTTGACGCGTTGCGAGGACAGAATAGTTCAAAGCAGAGCACATCAGCTTTGCTTAAGGGAGTCGTTTCAACAGATGAGGTGAAAGATTAGCTACTACTTCCGAGTCGAGAATGGTGGGTGTGAGCCAAGTTTCAGTTACGAATATAAGATCCGGTTCTTTCTGACTAATAAAAGCATGTAAATGTTCGAGTTTATTCAATAAGCTACGGGCATTTAACAGGAAGCAGGTGAGAACAGGTTGACCGTGCGCCGCTAGAGGTTTCCCGAGCGCCTATGTGGCAAGTCGCTTACATGTTTCAGTTGCCCCTGGTAGACTACCCACTCGCGAATAGCTTTGCCCTTGTTTCGCTCTCGCGCTTGTTGGCGTAGCTCATTCTCACGTCTTCGTTCATCTTCCGTCATGCTCCTTTGGATGAAAACATTAGAGAGTCCAGCATTCCGAAGTAAGCGAGCATTAGCCAGAGCACGGCGCCAGTGGGACCTAGTAGGCAGAACTACCTTAACGAGACGTGGGCGTCCAGGGTCTGGCTTGCCCATCCGATAGACCTCAGTCGGCCGACATTCCACATCCAGAGCATCTAACACGGTGCTGACTTTCTCCTCCAGATCGCTCTGACGCGCGGAAGCGGGGGCGGCACCTTGCATCTCGTCAAGACCGGAGATGACAATGCTACGACCGCGCTTATCACTTTCAAGGAACTCGGAAAATTCCGTTGGAATTTTCTCCGAAAGAGCGATAAGCATGTTGCCAATTGCCGGATCCTGATTGAGTTCCATTATGCTCTTTATGAGCTCCATAGCCGACATATTCTTAAAGGTAGTTGCCGGAAAATAGATGTAGCCTGAGAACTGCCCTTCCCACTCGAAGTAGACGGGGGTTGAGAGGAAGCGTTAGAGCTTTTCTTGAGACGTTGTTCTTTTGGGGGCATCTTTTGACCTTTGATCTACCGAAAACAGAGTCAATACCCAGGGGCTGAACGAAACTTGCTAAGAAAACTACGCAGAAAACAAAAAAGTTAACACCAATACTATGAATTAGAAACAAATTTAATAGAACACTTTCTTACCAGAAATATATCAAAACCAAATGAAAAGCTGATAACGTAGAGTATGATGTACAGAAAAAAAACTCAAACAAATCTTTAGCTCACGGAAAGACGACCGGTTGCGGTGCAAGTAGTAGTAGATTTGATTTATAAATAGTATGAAACCCTTTTTTTCAGGCTACTACCGAATTCAAAATATCGATTCCGCATTCGTTTTCTCGGCGATACGTCACAGTCTGTTTGGTCAGCCGAATCAGAATGGATGCAAACGCTGCCTGCACCGCCATTTGCAGCACCGAGTTCACTGGTAGCAACACCTTACGATGCAACAACATTGCTTCTTCAATGGTGGACTCCTTCAAGGTACTCTTCAACTGAAAATCATTCCCTAATAGAGTGTTTCTCTCTCCTACATGCTAACAGTAATGGGTCAAAGTTCTGATTCCTAAGTATCTATTTCTTGAGATTTTTATTTGAAATAGAGTTCGGAATAAACCTTGCTCAGAGAATCATGGAATGCTGATGCAATTGGTTACCGTATCGCCTATTGTGAATATCCTATGTCAGCCGACAACACTACTTGGACTACAACAGAAATCTCGCCGAACAGCTCGTGGTCAAAACGATCACAATTTTTGCTGTACAAGCTACCCAGGTACATTCCCTCTAGTGGACCTGTTCGCTTCTTATTTTGTATCATCTATCTTCATTCACCTTCCTTTCGCTTTTATCATTGGAAGTCTTGTTTTTTTACGATTTCTATTTTCAATCTCTTTTTCTTTGCCGTTTTGATAAATTGCTGTTCGTTATTTTTTAAACGCAAGTTCCAGTTTCCGTCACTATATTGTGCGGGTCCGCGCATTCAACTCGGAAGGCAGTAGTCCTTTTTCTGCACCAGTATTCGTCTATGTGGGTTACTCCATACCAAAGAGGTGCGCTTTCTTTCCTCCCTTTTTTTTGCAATTGATGATCATAACATATCAGGTTACCTTAGCTTGGGTTAACAATTTGAAATGTTTTTGCTAAGGAATGTAACGAATTTGATGGCCGAGCCGTTGTCATCCACATCTCTGTTCGTTAAATGGGATCCATGGTTGGAGAATGTAGATGCGGCGATAACTGGATTCAAGGTAACATTTCGGTAGCGCATTAATAGTTTATAATGTATTTTAAAATACTGCTATCTCTGAGCTTCATTTAGACTTCTTGTCGTTTTTTGTACTTTTCGAAGCTTTATGCTCTTCACTTTTATTGGTGAGCTTTCGGCATATAGTGCCTTCGTCAGACCTTAATTACTTACAATATATTGCTGCATACAATCAGTTACTATCAG